ACGTAGCTTAGCTTCGCTTGTGTCCCGTGCAAGCCGAGCTTTGTATGGAAAAGAGCACTCTTGTCACTGCCTGGCTTAAAGCCTTGAGAGAATGTGCGCTCCTTCTTTTCATAAACTAAACATTGGCTTTTTTGGTTATTTTCTACCCTAAGAAGTTGTTTTTCTGTCCCTGTACTTGCAGATGATGCTGTTTTTTAAAAACTTCTGTAAGTTAAGGATTTGTATTGGCTGTAAGAAAGTTATAGTGGAAGTAGGAAGAATGTTATATTTCTGTAGCCTTTACTATTTTTTTTTTAATTCAAACATTAAAAAATTAATTGCATGGCTGGTAAACTGGTGTCTACAGATTTTAACAGTTATGAGAATAACCGTATCCATAATACTTAAGGCTTTGTTTTTAAGTTCCTTTACAGAACCTGTTCTTCCATTTTCTTGCACTCTTGATATGATTAATGTAGCCATAATAGAGGAACCACTTGTCCATTGCATGGATTCTGACAAATGTGGGAATGGTTAAAGCTCCTGTGAGTTCATAGTTGGACCTGTGAAGCAGTACTGGCACCCTTTCATTTAACAGCATCCTGTGCATTAGTAAAAGAGAATTTTATTGTGTGCATTTTATACAAGTGCCGTACGACTTAAAATTTAACATATTCTGCTTCTTTTAAGTATTACAGTGTTCATGGAAAATGTGCTGTAAGACTAGAAACATTATTCTGTTATATGGTTAATTAAAAGAAAGGCAGATTTTTAATATGAGCTCAGTCAGTGGAAGACATCAACAAAGACTTTTTTGTTGGCTGTCAAGTGAGAAAAACAGAAAAGACTTAAATTCTTTTTCTGATATTTCCTTCCAGGCTGACTCATCATTAGAAACTGGGAAGAGCTGCAGAAGAGAAGCCAAACAGACAAGCTGGTAACTCAAAGAAATACTCTTTTGAGTTGGGGGTTCAGAGTGGAGCCATCATGAGCGATGTTACCATTGTGAAGGAAGGCTGGGTTCAGAAGAGGGGTAAGTTCTACCTTTTAATGGAAAGTTCTTCTATTGTATCGTATGCTGTGCGCAGTGGCATTACATGGTTACACATATGAGCATTCTTGATTTATTTTCTGGTCTGCAGCGAGCTAATCTGACCATATGGAATTAATGGCCATTAAGGCCTTGGTCTTGTTAATACTTAACCCTCAGCACTGCCCCTGTTTATAGTGAAGAGGAAGTTGGACTCAGTAATTCCCACTTAACCTTGCTGTTGCAGCTGCTGTCACCCATGTATCAGACTAAGTAGGCTGTTGTGGCAGCTGGAAAAGGTAGTAATAGAGGTGCACAGTCGAAGGTTGCCTGGAAGCTGTTGCGAATGCGATACTTTGTGTGAAACTTCCTAGATGCCAGAATCATTCACTGTGGCTCAGCTTGTATTACAAATGCAAGCAGTCCCTATAAAATCAACATAATATTTGCATAAAGCTCAGCATACACCTAATTACTTTGCAGACCTGGAAGCCATATGATTAAAGAATATGTTCCTAATTATAAGCGAGTTTGAAGTATGATTTTTCTGTTACATTTGAATTCCTGTAAATTCCTGAGATGTCACTTTATAATGTGTCACCATGTGATTTACAAATTTGGGAAGGTTGCTGCATGCTAAGCTTTTAATGGGAAACCTCTAGAAATATCTGGCATTTGTATGATGTGATGAACCTCGGATGAAATCTTCCATGCTTCATGCTGCTCTGCTTTGGGTTGTGGTTACACACATGATTATTTCCAAAAGAATATCATCTGTCTTGCAGAGAGAAGGTGATCTGGATTATAGGGTGATTTACGCCATGAGCTTCTGTGATTCTAGCCCAGAAAGATTTAGACTGGAATAGTGGGAACAAAATTACCCTTTAATTTACAAAGAAATGCTTTGTTTCAATAGCACTGTGTGAAGACAAAGATCATTATTAGCTTTGTTATTGCAGATTGACATTAAATGTCAAAGAAGGCAAGAGAATGAGAGAAAAAGTTTATTATTCTGTTATTATTCCTGCATAAATTGTATTTCAGGATGCATTCTGGGTATTGTAGATGAAAATGGACTAAACTATGTGAAGCTTAGGGCCTGCTTCCTATTTTGAAATATATACTTATATTTATAACAAATCAAATTTTACATGACAGGAACTATTTAAAATTTTAAATTATTTTTCCTTCCCATCTTGTTGTTTACTCAGTTTGGGTATCTGATTTCCTTTTTTGATTATTTCATACAAATTTCTTTCAAATGTATTAGAAAATGATTAGGATGATCCAAATAATTTTCTTTTACATGACATCTGTTCCTTCATGTAGTGTCACTCATTACACCCTGATATCAACTCTGAGTGCTGAGTCCAGAGAAGGACAATGTACAATGAAACTCTGTCTTACTGAATATTTGAAATTCTGAAATGTAAAATAAAGGTTTTCCTCGTCATGCTGTTTTACTATTAATTGAAGAAAAGCCTACTGAGTTGACATTTTGATGTCAGTTTTGTTAGTAATTATTTTCTTTTCTAAGTAAAGACATTTCGTGACAAGCATTTTTCCTTATTTTAATTAACTTTGAGTGAATGTATGGTTGGTTTTTTTCCTTCTTGCTATAGGTTACTGTGTAGGTTTAAGTGTTGGGTTTTTTCTTTTTTTTAATTAGATCTGATATTGTCCTTAATTTTCTGTGCCTGGCTTATTCTGGTTGTTGTTGGATTAAAGTGTTTGTTTCTGAAAACAAAAGGAAAAGTGCAGTGGTGTTTTCCAATGTCAAGAATTTGCAAGCATTTAATTCAATGGTTATACATTTCAGGTAATTACAACTTCTACGCTGACCTTGCTCTGGAGCAAGAGAATTGAAGTTGTTGAACGCTTTTTTTTTTTATTGTTGCTGAGAAAAATAATCCAACCTTAATCTAAATTCTGAGAGTTGGAATATGCTCAGTAGACACTTCTTATTTTGGCAGCTAAATATTCTCTCTCTGTACTAAGAAGCACTGTGGGATTGGGTAAAGCTGCCCTGCTTCCGCAAGCTATCGTGCTGTTACGGTTTTAAAGTGAATTCTCTGATCATCCCCACTTGACACCCATTGGCTCAGTTCACAGGGTGGTTTTGGTAGGTACAGACCAGGTTCCTCCTGGAGGAAGCTGAGTGTGGGATCTCTTCTCCAGGCGCACACCGAGTGAACTCCAGCCCCAGCGATCAGTCCTTTGGACAGCCCTGAACTACCTGTGTGGTGCAACGTGCGATCTGAGGCTCCAGACTGAATTTAATTTGAAATAAAACTTGTAAACCCTGCGTGCTGGAAACGTAGGGGCCTGGGCACCAGCTGCTTCAGTTGACTGATCTGCTTCTAATATGCCAAACGACTTGATCATGTGGTTATAGCCTAGGACCTTTTAAAATTGTTCCCTTCAGCAGTCAGGAAGGTTTGTGATAGAAGAAGAAGAACAAAACAGTCTCTCTCTGCGATTCACAGCCCAGTCAAGGAGTATGAGGGTGACTTGAAAGTAGTGGGATAAAGAACAGTTTTGAGGGGCCAGCTAATGAGATAACCCGCCTTTGTAAAGGCCTAAATGAACTGGATGTAGGAATGAGAGGGGAGGACTAAAAGTTGAGCTGGGGATCTCTCTCTGAGTTAAGACTCTGATAGAGAGAGGCTGGGGAAGACAGGGCCTGTTAGGGCACAGTGTTACAATTCTTAATGGCTGTGAAACGCACCGAGAAAATGTTTGCTTTATTACCCTTAGTGCTGTATCCATGTCAGTAATAGAGGGCTGAGGGCTATATGTTTGTGAAGCTTTTAACCCTGCTGTTGAGCACTGAAGAGTTGATGTGATGCTATGCAATTGGCTTCAATGTTCCGTTTTTCTGTGTGTGCTTAAATGATAAACCCATTAAAGTATTACTATTTTAAAATCAGCCAGCGCTCAAAGTTAAGAAATGCCAGAATCAAGTTTATTTAATTAGGGATGATCATCGTTAGGCTTTGAGTAGTCTTTAGGAGAAGAAGTTTCAGTGTGGTGAGAGTAGATGATACTGAGGAAGAGTAAGCTGTTACATGTGAATGGTCAGACAGGCAGGGATGACAGGCTGGAGGTGAGAACTTTGGATAATAGAAGACACAAAATCCAAGAGGAAGGAAAGCCTGAGAAGCTCAGTGAACCTCAGGTGCAGTCAGGTCCCATCTCACAGGTGAAAGGAGACCCTGAAGCACAGCGGTTGAGCCTGCCTGAGCAAGTAATGCCATACAGTGAGAGCAGATTCAGAGAATGAAATAACTGGTGATGAGGACCTGATACCTATCTACGCTCAGTGCATTTGCAAAGTGAAGTGGCTGTCACTTTGAGCTGGCTCCTGTCTGCTCCTGTGCCCCTTTTGCAGTGGTAGTGCTCCTGCGGTACATCTTGTGGTTTTTAGTCTCATCAGAAAGGAACCAGCTTTGTGCACTCCGGGACCGCTTCATGCAGCGAACAAAAATGCATTAACTAGGGTTATAGGAAGATTTGTTGCAAAAGTGCTCTTCTTATCTGAACTAAAGTACTGATGTAGATGTACCCTTTGAGACATCAGAACTTGTACAAGAGGAGAGCCAGCGGAGCAGTCTTCTTTGAGCGGAGTCTCTGCTCAGGCAAGAGAAGAGTGGGAATGTATTTTATACGGGCGGTCTTATGGTTGTCTGTGACTTACTGTCTCAGATCTAGTGATAAGAACCAACCATCTCACAGCCTTGTGTCCCTGCGCTGCTGCAAAGATATTCTTGCAATTCACTGACTCAGTGTATTTTGTTTCAGAGAGGGTAATAATTTTTCTTCTTTCTGTTTTTTGTTTCAGAGAGGGTAATAATTTTTCTTCTTTCTGTTCTCCAGTTATTCCTGTAGCCAGATTAGGAGAGAGATGTGTTGTCTTCCGTTACGAGTTTCATTTTTAGATGACACCAACATTTTTCCCTCTAATGCATACAGATGAAAGGCAAGTGATCTTGACTAAAATACAATGATCCGAACCTTGCTGTTGATATGCAGAAGTTAAAACACGTATTTGACGTTTATGTATTTAGTGTAAGGACTCTGCAGTAATTGCTGAAATGACTTTTACATTTTGGATTTGCTTATAAGCACTATGTTTTGCAGAGTGTTTTTTTTTTTTTTAATTATTGTAAGAGTTAGTATTTTTAATTTTACTTAATGTGTTTTTACTGTATTTACTAAATTACATTTAATGTTTTACAGAGGGGGAGATATGTTTTTAATTTATCACTTTGGAAACAGCTGTTTTTTCAAATGGATGAACGTGCTTAGTATGATTAGAGCTATATCATTGCAAAAGTGGGTTTTATGCATATAATTCAGGTGGTATTTTTTTCTTTAGAGCTAAAGTTTCCTGAGTTGTAGAGTTGACCTTGTCTGTGGTCTATAATAGTCACAACAATTAGATTTAAGAATCATTAATAACTATGCTTAATTGCAACCTAATTTCTTTATATATAACCCGTGCACAAGATTTCAATTAGTTTAAACATATGAAAAGGTTTAAGAGTCTTTGTTAGCATGTTATTAAAAGATCATTTGGGACAAAGGAAAAATTGACACAGATGCTAACTTTTTAAAGGACCCAGTTTTAAATTTAACATGTCAACTAACTTTTTCTTTAATTGAAAGTGTAAGTCTTTTTTTTTTTTTATCTGGGGAGAATATACCTAATGTGTATTGCATAACAAGATGGCTAAATTATTATATAAAGACAAAGCAAAATGTTGTCAGTTTAAGTCAGTGCTTCTGTTGTCATACTTCAATTACTGTACCTCTGTTCGGGCTTCTGTGTTCAAGCCTGTTATATTATCTAATGCTGTTTGTCATGGCAATCCTTGCATGGTTTACATGATATATTTTTACCCAAATTATACTGAATAGATAATGTATCTGACTTGCTTATGCGGGTGACTTTAGTATGTTCTCACAATTTTTGATATCCTCATTTTATCTCACAATGCTCA